CTAATTGTTTAAGCGACTCTCTCTCGTCAAAAAATCAAATGCTTTCTTTAGCACCACCACCGCAATCGTACTGCCTTCAATCGTTGACTAAGGTTTCGATGATAGAAATGAGGCGGAATGCACGTCCATGTGGCCTAATAAACTCACCGGACACGCCAAGGTTGGTCAACATCAGAAGACAGAGGCCCATTGGTCCCCCAATAATGTACATGCATACCATGGAGACAATGGCACCAGTTCGTTGCATTCCGACTCCGCGAATGATTCCCGAGCATACAGCCTTTAGAAAAAAAAAATTTATAGTCTAATGCTAATGCCTCCTTTGAGAAATGCCATATTTTACTTTGTGCTAAGTAATTTTGCGCATTTGCCTTTACAATTTTATATTTCAAACAAATGTTTAGTTCTAACCACCTCATCCCTGGTACTTCGAGCAGTTTCAAATAAACAAGTGAATAGGATTTTTTTCATGTGCTGATTTTGCCCTTTAACTGCTATACTCTTTCCACACCTTTTGGTAATTAAAATTATGCAAAAAACAATCGCTTTCGACACACTTTAATGCAGTTTGGTTAATATGGGCGGAAGTTTAAACAGCTAAGTAACTCTTACTCCTAACAGTCACACCGAGAAATGTCGCTGCCAACATACTCTATGAGAAGTGTCAATTATCGCTTTGTTAACATCATGGGGTTTTGAATCGGTCGAGTTAATCTTGCAGCTAGAAAAAATTCAAAATTCAGCATACAATAAAGCATATTGATGGTCGTCATCGCTTACCACTAACGAGTCAGTAAAAAGAAAACACGGTATAACGATAAGCCCGTCGGCAGCCATTTGAATAAGTTGTCTGCAAACAAAATAATCTGCTATTCAGTCCGATGGAACAATAACTGTAACACATGGACATAGTTCAAAAGTTGGCTATGATAATGGAGGAAGCAGGCATTAAAAATTCGTTGTATCATGCAGGCTTATGATTCAACGAAAGAGTGAGTTAGCTGTCGAGTTCAGCAAAATGATGAAATTTCGTTCACGCAAGTGTGAATCTTCCTTGCTGGTAAGAAACCGACTTGTAGATGAAATTAACAAAATTTATTTGTGGCTTGAAACTATGATACCTGCAATGCTATTGTTTTTTTTCCATTTCTTGCTAACTTCCCACCTATGAGATGCAAGCATATTGCACGCACTTAAATTGTCCTAAAAGGTGGGGATAGAAGTGGATATCGGTCACGTCCCAGCAATATCGAACTGACCGGCTAACAACACAATTTAAGTGGGGGACTTTTATCGTGATGCGAAAATACCTGCAATTACTTCATGCAAGGACAGTGTTTTGAGCCTAAGATACACTGAATCCACGAAATACACTCCGCGGGGAGCAAATTTCGTCCGCATAGCCACCTGAATAGGTTAAGACATGTTTTAAGGTGACCACATCAGTGTGCTAGGTGCAAGACGCTCAACACCTCTATGTGTAGCCATAGTCGCGAGGAATAAAAGCGAACCCTTGAATTTGCTCACAAAGATAAAAGACTAACAGCTGTGAGGGGATTAGAGAAAACAATTACTTTTGGATTTGTCCATACTTTGGCTTACACTGGACCTAGATCTAGCAAGGTTTGTGCCTTGCACACCAAATCGCAATGTTATCTTTGCACAGACAGTGAATATGGACGTTTCGAGTCGTACTGCAACTTAATCGGTATAGTTTGCTTGACTTCCAAAAGGTTGGCCTTTTTTAAGAAAAG